ACACTTTGTGCCCTTACTGTACATTGTTCTCATCATCTGGAAACCATTAAACGCAATGTTTCCTCTTATCAGCCCCAATTTTGCCTTTGGTCACCGTTCAATACCCTGCCTCTATCATAGATCTATTCATTGCGCCAGAAGGGGGCGTTATTGCTTACTTTGAGAAACGCTGAGCTAAAATAAAAGTCAATGTGTTAGAAATATTCAAGTTGTGACCTTCAATAAAAAATAAAAAATATATAAAATGTCAACATTTTATATATATTCTGTCGAAGTTTTATATATAGAGTTTGTCTGCCGTCGCCCCTCTATATTTCCTTAACGCCCCCCAATTCTCTTTGAGCCTTCTACTGCCCCCTGAAAGCCTCCAGCGCCCACAAGGGGGCGTTATCGCCCACTTTGAGAAACGCTGATCTAGTGGTATTATTGGCATGATTAATGATAGTTATGTAGTGGCAGATGAAAACCTTATTCTATGTTCTGACACAATAAAAGTCTTGTATAATATGATTCATTGTTTTTCCTTCCTATTTCTTGCTTTCATACTTTTTAATTATAAGAAACTACATATTATGTTATTTGTTAATAGTACAAAGACAATCCAATGCCAGATAAGGACTATGTTCTTTTGTTTTTATCACAAGCTATAGTGCTATTATTTCTTGTCATTTTATATATTTTTTACAGTTTATAATGTTTATTATATATAAATATATATAATTTGAATATTCAAGATTTACATATATCTTTAAAATATGCCAAATGCCACGTAACTGATATAATTTATTAAGCAAACATACATAGGATATGTACAGTACAAAGAACGCTATTTTCGTTTATTAATTAATAATTAATAACGTTAGTATAAATGTGAAGGTAAACAGCACTTGTCTGGTGAGAACCTACTAGTTGCTAGATAGATTTTATAAAAAGTAAAGTAGAATTTCTCAAAATGTAGCCCAAATTGTTTTTAAAGTGGCCCAAAACATAATAGAGAGGTTGAGGCGCACGTATTTAGCCCAAAACGTGTACGGGTAACGGGTGAGCGCCGCCATCTGGCAGTTCTGGACCGTCGATNCTACAGTAGTTTACATTTAATAGTAATTTAATAATTAATTAAGAAATGATTTAATATTTTATCGTATTTTGTTATTTGAAAGGTCTGTCATGTTGAAGTAGAGGACTTGCTGTGACGTCACATAGATCCAAGGTCATGCTAACAAATATACGAGATCTGGCCATCCTTGTAGTTTAAAGTCCTTGGCAGGCAGCAACTGGAAGGTGCCTGAAATTTTGAACAGAGGCGCTGGCAGCGCGTTGAAATTTTGAAAACATCCGGTGGAAGCGTGTCCTACAGGATAGGACGTGTTTGTGTCCTGTCAGAAGTATGAAATTATTTTAAAAGTACAATGCAATTAATTAAGTATTAAATGGACTACGAATACAATTTTCAAAACGTTTTTTTTCAACACAATCAATTCTGTAAGCATTCATAAAATTGGTCAATAGAATGGTGTCTGACCACTGCTGAAATTCCTTTCATTGTTTCTCTAACGCGCTCCTGAAAAATCTGTATGTTCTCCATTTGGAGACATGAGCACTTTAGTTTTCCCCATACCTGTATTTGAAAGTCTAATGAAAAAATATGGAGACTATTCGATACAGACTCTATACTACATGGATCCGGATTTGAATTTTCTTGAAGGCAAATTCTTTTCGGCTTTCTATTTGCAAATTATTAAGTACTTTCAAAAGGAACGAAATGAATAGATTTTAAAAAGATGTATGCAAAATTTTCCTGTCATTAAACGTTTTTTAAATTTATATTCAGATAATAAGGTGGTTTTATGCTTCATGTGTGCTGCATACAGTAAATACTACATAGGGACGACACTACCACTTTGCGCTGCGCCGCCATACATTTGGCCGAGAATATAATATAGTGGCATGATGAGGATATTTTGAACGCATGTAATAGAATAAAACGTATGCTATCCTAATTAATTTCGATAAGACTTCAGTTTTTTAACTCTTTCCGCGATGTGGACACTAAGAGGACATTTTTTCAAGCCCTTTATGGGTTCGACCAGGCCCACAAGGTCTGCCTGATGGTGAGAGACGAGATCCAATATATCCGGGGACGGACGGTCCATGAAAAATTTCCTGGGTTTTTCTACCCGTTTGGATTCGATCCCGGGTTTCTCTGAACGATAGGCTGACACCTCAATTGCACATAGCAATTTGCATTGCACGTAGTAAAAACTTGTTTTTGGCAAAATTCGAAATATGCATTTCAAATGTGAACAACGTCGATTTTTTTAAATTAAAATACGGTTTGTTCAAACTTCCCATTGTCTCAAAGAATAAATAAAGAGTACTCAAAAATGTTCCGTTTCGAAATCTTCCATTAATACAAATCAGTCAATTAATTCTTTAGTTGAATACTTTAAATTTTTACATAAGTCTTTTGTTTTAATTAAGGCAGAAGTTTTCTGAGGTTTCTCTGGAGTACACATCAGGCTTTCTGTGCATTTTTCACAATCTATGAATTTCTACAGCTTGTTGATTAATATTGCAAGTAACATTCATTCTATTTATATGAGTCACCCAAGCTGTAGAGACCTTATTAATGTAATGGATACTGCTCAAGCCTCAATGTGGTAGATATTCTGAAGGTGCAAAACCTGAAGATCGACTGTACAATGCTTCTCAAATGTGTTGAATGAGTGATAAGAAGCTCACACTCGTGAAGTAAACACAAAAAAGATATCGAGAAAGAACTTTTATTATGACAACCGTTACAACGTACCGCTTCATGAAAAAAAGGGGGAAAAAAAGGTGAAAAGATTACATGTTG